TTTAAGAATTAAGTTTTCACTTAACACTTAATATTAAGAAATTAAGAGTTAAGTGAAAACTTAATTTCTTAATATTAAGTGATAAGTGAAAACTTAATACTTAATATTAAATTAAGATAAAGGGACCACCCCTAGTATTTTCTATAAAATTTCAATATTTCAGAAAGCTTCTCTTGAAGTATGAGTTTACGGTACAAAGATAGATGTTCCCTGCATTGCTCAATCTAATGGCCAAAACCTGACTTCAATAGCTAGAAACCATCGAAATTTATTTAAAAAATGATGGTTGGAATTTTTCAAAAATCCGACAATAGTTCTAGGTAAGAATTTGTTCGAATAAATCTCTTTTTTACCTAGATTTATCTCTACAAAAAGCTCCAGAGTAAACAAGTACTAAAATAAATAAATAATGTTTTCTATTTAGATTTATGTCAACAATGAGTTCTAGATTAGAATTGGTTCGAATAAATATTTGTTTTATTTAGATTTATCTCAATAATATATTCAATGGTAAGTATTTATTAAATATGATAAATAATCTTTTTCTTTATAGATTTTACTCTACAACAAGTTGCAAGTTAAGTATTTGTTTATTTAAACAAATTAATTAATAATTTTCTTTTTATTTAGATTTATTCCAACTGTAGACACCGATCATAAGTGTTTCCTGAATAAATAAAACAGTATTTATTTTTGATTTATCAAATACTGTTTTATTTACTATATAAAGAAATACAATTGTACCTTCCGTTGGAATAAATTTAAATAAAAAAATCATTTTCTTTTGTTCATGAAGAGAAGAACGGGCTCAAAAAATTTGCTTCCCCTCTCCATTGAGGAGAATATTATCTGATTATTTTGGCAGGGGAGTACCAAAAACAACGACATATTCACAATCATTTACGGTACAAAAACGGCCAGTTCACGGCAGTAAATGGCACATATACAGTCCGCATACGAACGTCGTAACAGTAAATTTAGATGACTATGAAGTACTGTATGTGATCGATATACGACTAGAATAAGATCCGTATACGGTACGGATAAAACATGAACCGCAAAACGGCGTCCACTCATACGGAGTAATACGGACAGAAAAGGGTCCGTACTTACATCTCGTCGCCCTGCCCCCCCCCCCCCACACCCACGTTGTGAAAACCGCCAATAAAATCAGATTTCGTCGTGATTTTGAAAAGAAAATCGATTAATCGTAATCGAGGAAAATCAGAATGATTAAGCTCGATTAATCGACAAATTTTTAATAGTTGAGTGTAAACCTATTGTCACAGAATAAAAACTTCGACATAGATTTATAAAAAATATAAATTCAGTACACCAATTTCAGACTTTATAAGTGTAATTACTCAGCAAGAAAAACAGACTGACCACTGTATTTGATGACGGTAGTATATAGTTCCTTGCTTGGAAAATTAGGATAAAGATCAATTCTTTACTCACTTTTTATCGTACTCTTAACAAATAGTATTTGAGAGTTCAAATTAACTTAAATAAGATACTTCTTCTAATTTAACAAATATATGAGCCACTTGCAACTTTATTGTACGATTAGGATACTAAAGTGATTTCATCACGACTCCGGTTCTGGACAATCGATTTTCAAATTTTGTTTGTTTTATTGCTTATCTGATGGGTGTGCTACCATATAAATTTTGAGTCTCCAGCTTATTACTCTGTCGATATATTCGCATCGAAAGTAAAGAAAAAAACACTGTACGATGACTCATCCAAAAAGAAACTGGCTCTTCAAGCAAAAGAAAGAAGGCTAAAAGATTTTTGTAGTTCCAGATTTGCTTCACTCATTTTCGAGCAGTTGCTAGCCATAATTAGTCTTATTATATGTCATTCGACTACTGAGGCCACGTTGAGCAAGATTTAGAGGTAAATAGACTAAAAACAATCGATAGTTCGGTGTTCTAGGATAAAAATGCGTTTGTGTGTTCAATCGAGTTTTTTAAGTCATTTCCAGATAATTATTTAGGACTTCTATAATACGTAAGTGGGTGTTTTTGAGTCTTATTTCAGATATAATGGCTGCTACATCGCAGCAGAAACAAGCTGAATATGATAGAGGAAGACATAAAAAATTAAAATGAGAAGATCATTGGACAAAACATTTGATAAAGAATATCAACAAAAACAAGCTTTGAAACAAAGAAGACACTAGTAATTTAAAGCAACAGCAACAAAACACATTAGTAGCCACTCTTCCATCCGTGTCAGCCCCAACAACAACAAAAAGTGATTTACGAAAGAAAGAAAGTTTGCAACGAAGAAGATCAAATATCCAAAAATTGAAAAACGAAAATGCGAATCTGCGTGAAAGTATTCGGCAGTTAACAATTGAAAATAAAAAACTCAAAGATTCTCGATAACAAACACCTCCACATTCATCGCTAACTAAAATCTTGTTAGATAACATCAGTTCATCGTCAAAGAAACGTGCTATTTTATGTATCACAGATCAGAAAGAGCATCTACCGTGTGATTCTGCAGAAGATTTTCGTCAAAAATTGGGAATTCATCTATCTAATTCTAATGCTTCAAAGGAAACAACACCATCCCTACTTCGAAATTCTATTGAAACAATTTCTTTGTCAAGATCATATTACGAAATTATGTCCTGATAAGAATAAAACAGTTGGTGATCATCAAGTTCGTTATCTTCTCCATCATCTTTCAACATTACATCAAATTTTTGAATCCGATACAGATATAGTTATTGATTATGGTACATTTACTCGGTACGTGCCAGATTATATTCAGAAACCAATTCATGAGAGTTCGGGAACATGCTTGGGTATAACCTGTTTAAATCCGCAAATAAAACTTGAAAAGTTGAAAAAATTGAAACAAAAATATCCTTGTTTTCAACCTATCATTGATGGCATACCGCTTGATTTATCAGAGTTAGTGAAAGATGAAAAGGAATTGGACAACTTCAAACGTAAATTATCGAAACTAAATGATGAAAAATTAAATATAACATACAGTGAATGGCACAAAATTGTAAAACCAAATTGTACGGCACCAGCGTCAACAAAAGTAGCATTGACAGCTTCAATTAAGGATTTTTTTTTAAATTCATAATTGAAATCGATGTAAGCATCTAATTAAGAATCTCTCTAGCTCTGAAAGTTGTTTTCCCTTTTTTCACAAATCTAGATTTTGAGAGAACATGTGCGTATAATTCGAGAACAATTCAGAGCTGCAAATACAGCAAACAATCAAGATACTGTTGCAACAATTCAACTGGGTTGGAGTGAAAATTATAATAGGAAACAATCGCGAGAAGAAACGGGTAAATGTGCATGTGCTTTTTTTCGAGAATAACTCCACTTAGCAAGAAGCATTTACTAGTTTTCTAAGCCGATTTCTTGAACTATCTGTTTGAACTTTTCATCATACTGTTTTTTCTCTTATTCAAATAGGTGCATATTATTTTGAGCAGCACATTTCTCTGCTAACTGGTTACGTTTGGTTAAAACGTGGTTCGTTCAATTTTGGCTGTGTCAGTAATAATACAAATCATGTCCGAAACTACATGGACATCAATAAATGATTTACTTTAAGATCTGGTTCACGAACAAAAAGTTACAACAACTAATATAATCTCTGACAGTTCTGTTTCACAATTTAGAAATAAAACATTCATTTATTTGATGACAAAATTTGCTACAAAGGAAGTTGATGTTAAGTGGATATTTCTAGGGTCTGGTCACGATAAGGGTATTGCAGATGCTGCTTGAGCTGCTTTAAAACGAAATTTCGATCAAGCAATATCGTATAAACCTGATGATCCATTTGAAAATGCTATAGATTTGTTAAATGCAGTTGAAAATTTGTCTAATATTAAATTATTTATCTATGATAAATCAGATATTGAAGAAATCAATACCAAAACTTGTTACAGTCAAAGGAACAGCTGAATTTCATGAAATTATAGCAACAAAAGATGGAACACTTTATGCTAAAAATTTTTCCAGCGAAAAAGAAAAACAGTTGAAAGTACATTTTTAAATTTACTGATAAGGACATTGCACTTAAGAAAGATGTCTGCTCTTTCCAGATATCGATTCGTACAGTGCGTAGTCCGATTTTTTTATCTATATAAAAATAAACTAGAAAAAGCAGTGAAACGACTTTTGTTAAGCATTTTAATTAATATGGGAAATCTCTGATATGAAAGGTTAAAATAAAGACAGTGTGGAATAGATTACAAGTAGAGAAAACAAATTGTGAATCATTAGTAATGCAATTTAAAATTTATTCAACCTTTAAAAACTGTTTCACAAGCTATCTGAAGTCAGAACAACGTTTTATAAGGTTCTGTGAGTCATTATTTAAGCTCAAACGACTCGTCTGCGAGGAGATAGATAGATCTTACCGAGAATTATTGATTAATGCACAATATGTATGTCTTTGCTTTAATTTCAAAGCATTCTGTTACACTAAGCTTTACACATAAAATGTCTGGATTTCCGGCTTGAATATTTTCGCACCTTTGCATCGGGTATTTCGGAAAATTTAACAGGCGACGCAGAAAATGATGGAGAACAATATGTACTGCATACATTTTCTCTAAACATACTTTCATTTTTTTTCATCAATCGTACAATAAACTTGCAACTGACTCATATGTATGCATCAACTCTTTCCGTTGCATTCAGCTAAGTTGATAGTGAAGATTTTATGACTGTTGTTGGATTCGAATATTGAGCTCCTGATAATTATACTTCGCTCGATTTTTGGAGAGACATTTTTGTTTGTCTCTGATATATATTTTTTCATCTATTTTATCGAGAAAGTATTTTGAGAAGCATAGCTTTACCTTGATCTCAATTATTACTGTGACAATACTTTAATTTGCTGCTGTCATCTTCTCTTTTTAGTATATAGTTTTCTTTTTCAACCTTTATTTATTGATGGATCAATGACAGCAAATAAGTTTCGATTGCTAGAAAACCACAATAAATCATAAAATCGATACAAATTATAGTCGATCAAGTGAAAATGTTTTGTGATTGTCTTTTTTAATATGAGACCCTGCTATTCATTTATAATATTGCTCAAATTTGGATGCAATAAGTAGAACAATGACTTAATATGTAGAGAGAGAAATTTAAAATGTTCATTGTCTCATAATCTATCACAGAGCTTGTTGATGGTGTATCGTGATCTATGCCACCAGATATTTATTGTGTTTTATTTCATAAAACATTTGGAAACAAAATTGTCACTCGATAAAATTATATGACTTTGTATCAAGTGATGCATAGCATCGCGGATAATATGAAACAAAAGTAACATAACAGTTCACAACAATAAATTGAAGATTATGTGACTTCAGAAATAGTCGTCATTACTATTGTCTCATTCCCGATTCATCGCTATTTGCTCTACTTAGAAATGAATACAATTGCAATTTGATAAAAAGAAGAAAAGACAACGTAAAATAATGTTATTGTAACCCTTTACGTTCTTTCTTCGAAAAATATATTTTTGATCACCAAAAAAAGTTGAAATTGATCACCATTTTTTTTTGTTGCGAAATGATCACCAAAATAAGATGCAAATGATCACCATTTTTTTGTTGTTGTGAAATGATCACCAAAAAACGAGACATTTGATCACCAAGTTAATTAACTTGTAATGTTCGATAATATATTACTTTGATGAGATATAGAAAACATGGTGTTGATAAATCGAATGTTTATCGTGAACTTTAATTGATTAATATAACAGAGTTAACTCTGATTGAGCTAAGCTCATTTTGTTGAAATGATCCAATTAATAAAAATAGTTTAAAAAGCATATTTTGTCATGAGAAATTATTCCATAAAAATGTCTAATAATGAATGGAAATTGCTACACATTGCTAAATCATATGAAGAAGCAAAAGAATTCGTTACAGAAAAGTACGATGTTTGTCAATAT